ATATTTAAACATACAAATCTAGTTACAAAATAGCATATTTTGCACAATTGTTACTGCACTTTATTTTTTGTATGTCTTTGAACATATTTTTTAGGATCACTGATGATTATAATTTCATAGTTAGAAATGCGCAGATTAAATTATTCCAAAGTATATGCTTTACAAAAATTATTAATTTGTGGATTCTTATGTGAAGGACTTAGAAGAGGGCTGGGGAGGTGGCTCAGTGGTGGAGCTCTTGCCTAGCATGCACAAGGCCCTGATCCCTAACACCACAAAAAGAGAGAGAAGACTTAGAAGATATCTACTCAAATACAAGATGTGATTTAAATAGATGATAGATGTTGAAATAAAGATATTTATTATCAGTATAAGATACAGTGCCATTAATCCTCTCAAAATATTTCCCCTCCCTTTGAAGACGCTTGCCCCGTCATTCTTGCCACTTTCTCAAGCAGTTCTCGAAGTCGTCTCTCCTAAATGTCTTTATCAAGTGTGATCAGAAATAAGATAGGTGGTGCCAAGGGCCATCTCACAGAAAGGCAGGCTTGTAAAAACATCTTGATGTGTCTTCATCCATCTTATTCTCCAGATCTGACACTGTGCAACTTCTGACTGTTTTATAAAGTCAGAATGGTCATACAAGGTACATGTTTTAAATTAAGTCCAGACATTCAGGCAGCCATGACAGTGCAACGAAAGACATGAAAGAGGACTTCTGGAACTGCTTCACAAAGTGGCAAGAAGAATAAGTCATTGTATTTTTTGATCACACTTTGTATTACACTCAGGGATACTGCTTCCCAATTATATGTCTTACTATATAAAATTTTTTCTGAGCCCCAGTGAACTAGTCTAAAAAGACTTTAATAACATTTCTAGAAAGCATCTTTTAAGTTTGTCTTTCTGCATCTTATGTTAATTGTTGAGCTCACAGCGCACAGCAAACCCTCCTGCCTCATCCAGTTTGCCATTTCCAACTCCCAAAATGAAATTTTACAGTGTTTCTAGGGCATTCTGAGCTACTAATCATTAATTGATTTTAATAATTATAATTACTAAGCAACATAGACATTTAAAACTTAGCTTTTTAAAAAAAAGGTTAAAAGTGATTTTTCTCCATTGCATTGCTCTTTTTCTGAGTGAGCATCCCACAAATGAGTTTTCTTTCACTCTTTTTCTTTTCTCTTGTTTTCCCTTACTCTTTTTAGAGGAGGGAGCCCAGTTCTGTCCATAAGTGCTGCAGAAGACACAGCTGCCCCTACTCTGATGCCAGAGTGATAGTTTGGGCTACTAAAACTTTAATCAGTTAAGTTAATGTTACCATATGAATTTTCATCATTTTTGGGGAATATCGACAATTGATCTTTCTTAATTAAAATAGTTGTTAAACAGTCTGTGTTCTTCTTTGTGTTGAGATTATTTCCAAGACAGTACAGTAAGAACTGCATGTAAAAGGAAACCTATGTGATTAGAGAAACTCCACCATAGCATCAGTATCATCTATAAAATGAAGATATGTTTTCCAGAGGTTTTAAACGTGTGTGTGTGTGTGTGTGTGTGTGTGTGTGTGTGTGTGTGTGTCTACCTTGATATGGTAATGTTCAGTAAATTGCAGTTGTTCTTATGGTGGTGCTTTCTACATAAAGCCACCGGTACGTTTAGGTGAAGTTCTAATCCCAGTTCTAACAAATAGAACAAGGTAGGTAGAATTTAAATGGTTACAGGGGCTGGGGATTTAGCTCAGCGGCAAAGCGCCTGCCTGGCAAGCGCAAGGTCGTGAGTTCGGTTCCTGGTACCGGAGAAAAACCAAAAAAAACCAAAAAAACCAAAATTAAATGGTTACAAATATTTTTTAAAATGTAAAACACTTAATTTTTCAATCTTTACTGTGGTTTTTTTTTTACACATGTAGTTTAAAATATACATCTTATCACAAACATGGTAAGTGCTCATTAGTCACCCAAGGATCTGTATTCCAGAGAAAATTCAGCCTGATAGGCTGTGTATGATCACACAAAGAAGGACTGAACTGGGGGGAGCAGAATGTAGGAAAGTTGGAAAATGAATTCTAGACTTTGGGTGTATTTTCCCATTAATACTGCAGTTGAAGAAACCAGGTTTTACACTGTGTGGTATTTCTACCAGAGATGCAAATTCTTTATCTGCAGGCTATAAGGAAATCAGTAGACTCAGGAGCTTGAGTTTTTGTAATTAATAAGAGAGTCCATTCTATTTATTTTTAGTCATTAGTCTTTATTTTGTATTCTTTGTTAAATTGTTTATTAAAATGGACAGAGTAGACACAGGAAAAAGATTAGAGGTTGAGATGGTACAGTGGTACCTTGCTTCATGAACTTGATTCCTGCCATAATTCTGGCACAAACTGAGTTAGATGTGAACCAAAAATCAAATTCAGTAGTTAGGTCCAATGTTGACCTTATGGGGAAATTTGATTTGGTTCTTCTCCAGTTTGGTTTGCAACCAGAATCATGGGAAAAAAAATGAGTTTGTGAATCGAGGCATCACTGTAAATATTCTGTAAGGACAACCCTTGCAAAACAGTGACACAAATTTAGCAGCTGATGCAGTGGCTGTCCATTAAGAGTCCATTCCATTTTTATAGTGATGGGCCAGTTTTATACAGGCAGATGAGTTTATTAACTTAAATGAACAAATTGTACCTAGTGTAATCATTCTGTGGTACCACCATATTTTACCTGATTCAGAGTATATACATATTCCTGAGGTTAAATAACTTTGTAATAGATGACCCTGGGGAAAAAGTTTTAATCGTATTTCATCATCATGCTGGGGATAGGGAGAGTATAGAAGTTTAAATAAAATGTTTGATTTTCTGATATTTTAGTAGCTCTTTGTTTACTATCTTCTTAGAGTCATAGCATATACTTAATGCCTGTAATTGCCTCTTTAGTTCTCAAAAGGAATGTTTTGATACACCATTTTACTTATAAGGCTTCTGGTAACTAAGCAGCCATAACCAAAGTAGGCCTAAGAAATTAAATTTCTCACCTTTTCTTTTCCATTTCTTCATGACCTTAAAGGAAGGATAAATAGTAAAACACTAGAATGCCTTTTGATAAAATAACTTATCCAGAATACTGAATATCAAATCATTGAAAGTTTAGATGAGTTGTTCATTTATTTTTAGCACCTGTTCATATCAAAGGACATAGTCCTGATTAAAATAGTACCGAAACAAAATGATTTTACCACTTGGGAGGCCAGCTTTGTAATTAATTCTTTTTGATGATATCTGGCATGGAACCTAAAGCCTCTCACATGTTAAATGAGCACCATGCTACTGAGCTACATCTACAGGCCCCACCTTGTTTTTTTGTAACAGGGTCTTACTACATAGTTAAAACTTTGCCTCAAACTCAAGGCAGTCCTCCTGCCGCAGCCTCCCAAGTGCTGGGATTAAAGGCATGCGCCACCACACCTGGCTATCAGCCCTAGCTTTGTAATCTATTCTGTTATTTTTCAAATGTGAACTAATTTTTTAGGACAGTATTTCTAACAATTTGTAAGTTATGTCTATAAGAATTGATACTTAGGAGTTTTATCAGCTTGACCCCTTCTCTCTTGGTGAATGTGCTTTCCTTTCTACTTCAGATGTATATTTGAAATCCCGTTATTCTCTCAGTGGGTAAAACCTAGAGCAGAGGCTCAGTGAGACTGTCTTTTAATGTAGGCTCCAACATCTTCAGGAGGAATGAATCAAGAAATAGAAGTTCTTCATTGCAGTGTAAAGTGGAACTGAGTGTCAGAAAATTTAAGTAGGTCTGGGGTGTGTAGCTCAGTGGTACAGCCCTTGTGTAGCATGTGTGAGGCCCTGGCTTCCATCCCTAGCACCGCCAGAGGGAAGGAGAAAAGCCCAAGTAATTTTGATTTGATTAAGTTGTAATTGTTTTCATTGTTACTGTCAGGAGAAGAAGCTTATTTTTAGTACTATTATATAAATCCTGGAATGAATGTCAGGAAAGATGTTATAGGAAGTGCTTCTTTCTGCAAGCAGCTAGCAGAAATGTCACATATTTGTCTGTGTATCCTTTTGCATTCCCTGTGCATGTTAATGTTTCCTCAGGCTCTTACTCATAAAATGAAAAAAAAATCTAAATCCTCATTTCATTGCAGACATATACTTTGGTGGCAGCGGGTGGTACTGTTAAATAGTCTGTGTCACTTTCTGTAGATTTTATTTGCTGCTTAAAAATATGTATGTACACAGATACACACATCCCTATAAACTGTGATGGTGAAATTGTCTTCCGTAATTAAGAAACGAATTCCTTGCAATATTAGTCAAGAATAGAAGCCAAAGTATATCAAAATATACAATACAAAATATTAGGATAGTTTTAGAAAATACGAGGGCCAGGGATATAGCTCAGCGACATCAGCATTTGCCTGGCAAACCTGAGGTCATGAGTTTGATTCCTGGTACCGAAAAAAAAATTATAGAAAATATCAAAGCACAATAAATTCTGTCTAGATTACAGCCACAGTCCTTCCCTAGAGGATAAATGTATGAATTTGAGTGAAATGCACCAATGGCATTCAATGGTAGCAAAGTTTGTGCTGCACAGCTTCTTGCAGAGCCCTTGAGTCTTACATGTGGGTGATTCTGAAGGAGTCAGTGTGGGTTATCCTTGACTCTAGCAACTGATCAGTAATCCGTGCATTCCCCTGAATGAAGCTACCATCTTACAATATATGGCATTGCACGTTAGTATTCTGATTTCCTAATGACCAAATACAGTTCTCAGTGTACTTGATTTCCCTCTGAATCTAAGGGCATTATGTAGGCAAAGCTAGAATCTGATGTAGTGCTACTTCCAACTTTAAATGAGAACCGTAGGAGATGTGAAAGAGAACTATGACAAGGACAAACTAATTTGTGTTTTATAACGTTTAGGAAATGTCATGTTTTTACTGGTTTCAGAGACTTTTTCAAATGTTTTAAACGCAATTTTCAGATAACAATAATGAAAAGCTGAACCCTAAACCAGGGACAGGTGAACCAGTTTTAAGTTTGCACTACAGCACAGAAGGAACGACTACAAGCACAATAAAACTGAACTTTACAGATGAATGGTAAGTGAATATTTTCTTACAGATGTTCTCAGCCGTTTTGGAGGCTTGTGTTATATTTGTATTTTTAGCACTTCGACATTTCTATGTTTTGTTTTGCATAATGCATTGGTTTTCAAATTCTGATGTACTTTAAAATCCCTTGGAGAGCTTGCTGAAACAGAAGGAACGTAGAATCAGGTTTGGTCTGGAGTCTGAGCATTTGCATTTCTAAAAACTTTGCAGATGATATTGTGTACCCTCAGATATTTCTTCTGATAGGAAATACAAAGATAATAATAATGACCTATAGATCATTAGTGCCAAAATGTGCAGTCTTGTTTCTGTAGACAAGTATGTGTGTGTGTGTGTGTGTGTGTGTGTGTGTGTGTATATGATTTTTGTTCTGAGTTTTAGAACTTAATTATAATCATGCAGAATATTCTGTGTTCTCTGCATTTGTTGGATTTAACTATACAGTAATTATTCCTGTTACTACTTAGTCTGAATGAATATTATTTTTTGGTCCATCAAGTAAATACGCTGTAGTTTAGTTAACCATTTACCTTTAGTTAGGCAGTGAATTTACTATTTTTTTTAACCCAGTAAGAATATAGAGCTATATTTCCAGAAATGAGTTACATCTAGATCAAATGATATTATTAAATTGTTTTCAAAAAGCCCTTCTCACTACATTTATGTCAGCAGTATACAAGTATATTTTACTGTCTCCAAGCCAGTGTTCAGTATATTCATTTATTTTTTATTTATTAAAAGTAAACTTGAGCTTTTTCATTTATATGATGGTTGTGTACATTTTAAGATGTTTGATTATATTTTTGCTTGTTAATTGAGTTGTCTTAAATGTTTTTTAAATTATTCCTGTTAATTTTTTAAATATCAACTGATACTCAACTTCTTTTACTTTCTCACTGTATAATAGGCTTTTGATTGAGATATTATCAAAACTTTTATTTAAATTTGTTAAGAGTAATACATTATTAACTTATTATTAAGTAATATATTGAGCATATAGTTTGTTTTGTTTGTGATACTTGGGATTGAATCTAGGGTTTTCACTCTGTTACATCCCTAGCCCTTCTTTTATTTTTGATTCTGAGACAGGGCCTCGCTACATTGTGCTGGCTGGTCTCAAACTTATCGTCCTCCTGCCTCAGACTCCCAGAGTACTGGGATCACAGGCCTCCTGCCTCAGACTCTCAGAGTACTGGGATCACACAATACAGTATTACTTAATATATAATTTAAATTGATGTTGTATAATATATGTTAATATATAATTATATAAGTTGCTTTATATCTGATATATTAACTACTTGATTAGTGCATTGATTAATATATTCTATGCTGATATGTGTTGTTAATATAAACTGTATTATGTATAAAGTTTTCTATTAATGTATATTAATTGTCCATGATACATAATAATTTTATTTAATTACCTGATTTCCATTTGTTTGTGTGTATTTTATATTAAAAATCTCAGTTAAGTAGGAGTTCAGATGTTGGTTACTTTCTTTTTTATTTTAATATAATACATGTAGATGTTAATAAAGAAAATATAGAAAAGCACACTTCTATTAAAACAAAATTTCATAACAAAATAATTAGAGGATAACAATAGTTGAATAGACCGTACCATAATCTTCAAAGAATGGCCAAAGTGTTACTCAGAAAACAAGTCCATATTGCACAACCTATTCTAGACACTGCAAATCCATCAGTGAAAAACTAAAATAATCTCTGCCCTGCTGGAGCTTAAAACCTAGGTGGAAGAGATAGAGGATTCACAGAATAGCCACTCGGACTGTGGCATGTTAGGACATTCAAAGTCCTGGGAAACAAACCCCAGCACATGAGGACAAGTAAGAAACCTGAGGAGGGGACAGGCATTGGTGAGCAGGTGACATTCGGCAAAACCTGGAAGAGCAGTGACATTTGTGTACGCAGGGAAAGTGCCTCAGAGAGAGAGAGAGAGCGAGCGAGCGTGCGCACGAGCTCTGGGTAAAGTCTCTGAAGCAGAAGTAGACTGTGTTCTGGGATCTGTAGGACCATTGTAGCTGACATGGAGTAACCTGAGGGGAGAGTAGAGCAGATAAGGTCAACGTGGAAAGTGTGGAAGAAATGGGAAAGGATGAGCTATGTTTTTAGTGAAAACGCTGTGGCGAGAGTGGTATGGCTGGGACCAGCGCAGGAGTAGAGGGGTAGTCACAAGTGTTTTGCCTTGTAGAGACATATGTGTAATTTCTTCATGAGCCCTAGGTTTGACATGAACACTTTAGCATTATGACACCCATTGCCCTCTTTCTTGCTAATAATTTGACAAAGGATTGTCATGTTTCTGTCATACCTTTTCTGTTTTCCTGTGTCTATACAAAACAGACTAACTTCTGAACAAAGAATCCCCCAAAACATTTTTAGGAAGTGCGTTAGTCTTCTCCTTCTTTATGAATCCTGTCTTTTCTTCTCTAAAAATTTACCATCGGTTGTAGTGTGTCATCCATCCATTTCTTATTTCTTTGTCAAAAGATAATTACCATTTTTCTGATTGTGACTGTATTCAATCTTTATTGTCAAAAAGCATTCAAAAAAGTATGCAGTTCTTTTTTTTTAATCTATTCAGGTATGTTGTCTTGCTCTTATTTAAGGTTCTTTGATGACAGAGTGAATGGAACATGCTGTGGGCTTGGACTCAGAACTCGCCAGGCTGTGGAGCCTTTCTCTCTAAACCCCACTGGGTTTTTTTTGTTTTTTGTTTTTTGAGATAGGGGCTCACCAGGCTGGCCTTGAACTCATGATCCTCCCATCTTAGCCTGCTGAGTAGCTGAGACTGCAGGCATATGCCAACCCTGGATAATTCTCAGTTTTCTCTCCTGGAAATGGGCATGTTTAGCAGAATCTGTTTCACAGGTTTATTGTGAAAAGTTCATAGCACTTAGCACTTTGACTGGCACATGCTATGCCTTAAATAATTGTTAGCTAATAATGATCATCTTTTTATAAACTGTCTTTCAGATACTTCCAGTTTTCTCCTGTGGTATTTATCTTTTTCTTATCGATTTGTGTGGTCTATCTATTATAGAATTAAATGAGGATAACATCATTTGTCTTGTATTTGTTGATGTTTTTCATTTTCCTTATGGTGATTTTGCTTTATGGTTTCTGCCTGTGAGCTCAGAAGAACCTTGTCCTTCCCAGAATTAGGGAGAAAATTTATTTTCCGCTCATATTTTTTATAGTTTCATATAAAAATTAAATATTTAATACTTTTGGAATTTGCTTTTCTGTAAGTGTGAGGTAGAGTTATAGCGTTAGTTTTCCATGGGGCTCCTTTCTCTACTACTTACTAAGCAACCTTTTGTGTGTGTGTGTGTCTTTCTGAAGCAGAGTCTTGCTACGCAGTTCAGGCTGCCTTCAACTCACTAGTTCAAACTGGCCTCGAACTCGCAGCAATCCTCCTGCTTCAGCCTCCCCGAGTGCTGGGATTATACGCATGTGCCAACACACCTGGCTTATTAAAAAGTTTTTTTTAACATTTCTCAGTGATTTTAAATGCCATATTATTTTGCTAAATGGATTAACTTGGATAGTATGTTTTTTCCACTAATGGCTCTGTTCCTCCATCAATACAATAATATTTTACATATCATAACTGTTACACACTAAGCATTTATGTTACAGCTTTCTCAGTGGAAACAAAGAGATTTGTACATTTCATTAGCATCTCTTTCCCAGAATAGCTATATGTTTCCTTCCTAAAAAATTCACCAAGGATAATCTTAATGGGATGACACTTAACATTGGTGTATAGCTCACCCAACATTTTTCTCCAAATATGTACCCATGTACCTATTTAAAAATAATACTTGTAAGATATGTATATGCCTTAAAAAAATTTTACCTCAGTGGTTTGCCTGAAAGGTTTTTTTTGGTAAAATCTTGATTAAAAAGTCCATGATCATTTGCGTTGTTTCTTGAGCCACTGCCATTTGTCTATAACTAATGTTTTAAAGTTTCTTTATCTCTTATTTCTTTTACTTATTAACATTTATCCTAAATTTAAGGTATTACTGCATTTCTATTAATTAATGTCAGATTTTTGTACATTTTTCCATTTCCCACTTGCACATTTGCCATGGTTTGTCACAGAATATTCACTGAAAATGATTTATTTAAGAAATTTGGTGGTGTGATGGTACACATTTATAATCCCAGCACTTGGGAGGCTGAGACAGGACTATCTCAAGTGCAAGAGCAGCCTGGGCTACCATAGCAAGACCCCTCTCTCAAAATTTATTTTGAAAAAGTCACTTGATTGGCCTAGTGTTCTGCTGTGGCAAGAAATACAGATGGAGCTGTGATCTTCATGGTGGGACAGGGCAGTAAAGCTGAACCAGAGAACGTTACTTCTGTCTACAGGACTGGAATGCTCAGTCAGCTGCTACATTTGAGCAACAGACCAGGGCTGGAAATGATTCCCAAGGGCTGCTCAAAAGACCAAAGGAAAGGCCAGGTTTTCTTCAAGCATTAATTTAAGGACAGGCAAAACAGACTGGGCATGGTGCACATGCCTGTAACCCCAGTACTCGGGAGGCTGTAAAACTGTTAGGATTTGGATATTGTGATCTATTTGCAGATAAGTCAGACAGTGAATATAGTTCTTCTCCAGTCCAGCAGAGACCAGGTCCAGGCTGTAGCTCAGAGGTAAAGGACTTGCTTAGTGTGCTCGAGGACCTGTGTTCACACACACAGCACACACACGTATGTGCATGCACACTCAATTTCAGATGTGTAGAAAGGCATACTTGATAAAAGAAGCATCAAGACAGTGAAGAAGTGGTCCTTTTATATCTTTAAAACTTTTTAGACTAAAAGTATTAGAATAGTCATCCTGATAGGTTTAATGATGTTTGCAGTACTACTAAAATAAAAAAAATTATATTTTGTTTAAGCTGGGTGTGGTGGCACATGCCTGTAATCCCAGCACTCAGGAGGCTGAGGCAGGAGGCTCATTGTGAGTTCAAGACCAGCCTGGGCTACAAAGTGAGCTCCAGGCCAGTGTGAACTGCATAGCGAGACCCTGTCTCAAAAAAGACAAAAAAAAAAAAAAAAAACCGAAAAAACATTATATTTCATTTGTATTCTGTTACACATCTCCAGTTGTAAAATACAGAAATTATCCTAAAAGTTCATTTATTAACTTCTTGGTGGAACCACTTACCTTGTTTTGGTAGGAGCAGTACTGCCTCAAGTTCTAGAGGAAATGGAAGCCATGGAAAATCTGAGGATCAGGAGGAATCCCTGGTCCCCCAGAGCTCAGTGCAAACTCCAGAAGGAGACAGCGAAGCAAGTAAGGTGTTTGCTTTGTCCGTGTAAAACTTCCGTGTTAGATGTCCACCTGTTTTTGGTTTTTTTCTTTCTTGTTTTTAATAATTATACTTTTATCACTGTAGTCCAGCTGATACAAAGAGATATTAAGCAGTTAGGTGGGGAATGTGCACATGGCCCAGCCCATTTACACCATGCATGGTCATGGTACTGTATTGGAGCTGGAAATGCGAATTTAAACCATCTTGCAATTTTGCTTATCAGAGTGAAATCCATACCACCTATCTTGATCTTTCAAAGAGCATGCGTACGTGGCTTATGGAGGGAAAACAAAAGGAGTGAAATCTAAACAAATGACTTTATTTGTATTATGCAGTGTCACTTAAGAATTTTTTCAGAACTCTTCTAGAAGTAGATTTTTTTTTGTTACCAGGAATCTAACTCAGAACCTTGTACTTGCCAGGCAGGCACTGTGCCACTGAGCTATATCCCTGGTAGAGTAGAATTTTTTTACATGACCATTTGCCATGTAAATTTTAGTGACTAGCACAGAGACTGGGACACAGTAGATGTTTAGTAAATAGTTGATAGATGAAGGAACAAATGTATGCTGTTTATTATTAAATGAGTAGGTACCTGAGACTAACAGTTTGGAATTAAATAAGTATATGATAACTATCTGATAAGCACAGGTCTAATTAGGAAGAAGAAAGAATGATCCTCCATGGATCTCTTAGTTAAACTCCAAAGTTAAGTATTGTCAGTGACCAGAACAGAACTGGACAGGCTTTTCCCATTTGTTCATGACAGCTCAGATTGTACCAAATGCATGATAAAAGGGCAGAAAATACTCAGTTTTAGAAGTTTAGGTTTTAAGGATGTTAGAAAAACAAGCTGTTAGATCAGGTGGTCCACGAACTGCTGACACCACGGTTCGAGTCTGGGCTTTGCAAGTGCACTGACCTCCTGGAGGTCACAGATACAGGCGGTCCGTAATCACTGCCAGTGCAGCCTACGCCTGGCTCCTGTGCACCCTAAGCTGCCTGGAGACACAGAATCAGAAGATCCACAAGCTGCTGACATCATTGTTACCGACTGAGTGCCAAGAGAACCAGGTAGACCCCATTTCCTTCCTGGGGACAAAGCAGGCAAGCTGCAGTCCTGCCATCATTACAATATATGTCTCTGCTCTCCGTGCAGCCAGGAGATACTGGCTTAGAAGGCCCATGAACCGCTAACACTGGGGTTCGCATTTGGGCCCTCCCTCTGTGCACCCTGTGCCACCTGAGGTGTTACATGAGCCAGTCCACGAACTGCTGACACTGCACTTTTGCCTCTGGGCTTTGTGCACCCTCTGACCTTCCAGATGTCACAGAAACAGGCTGTCCATGATCACTGCCAGTGCAGCCCACTTCTTGCTCCTGCATGCACCCTGAGCTGCCTGGAGACACTGAATCAGGCGGTGCATGAACTGCTGACCCTGCAGTTTGTATCTAGGCTCTGCCTGCGCCTTGAGCCATCTGGGGACCCAGGACCAAGTGGTCTGTGAGCACACCACCAGTGCAGCCCACTTCTGGGTCATACACGTTCCCTGAACTGCCTGGGGACACTTGAGTAGGCGTTCTGCAATCTGCAGACGTTGACGTTTATGTCTGGGACCTGGGAGAACTAGGTGTACTACACCAACCACCGGAAGATCCGAGAGTGAGCAGCCTATCTCGATGGCCACTGAGGGGCAAGTCTGACCACCAGGATAACTAGGGACGCTTGTGACCTCTGCTGAGCTGCCAGGGAAGAGGGAGACTGGGTGCTCTGCCTCCAGCATCAAACATGACAAGTTGAAGAAATAAATTGCAGTCTCAGAACTTCACCCAACCCAGAACAAGTCCAGAAGACATCAACATAGGAGAACTTGGTAAACACACACCTGAAATTGCTGAAATGATTGCAATGGAAGTAAAGAAACAACTCCATCAGGACATAGAAGACATGAGATCGGAAGTAATGTCTCAGGTAAAAAAATGAAATGACAACAATAATGAAAGAATTGCTTAGCACATCTAAAGAAGAAATATATAAAAAAAATAGATGATCATAGGAAACTGATGGAAATGTTAAATGAAAAATACAGGAGTAAACTAGAATGCATGAAGCAGATTCAAAGAGATACCCAGAAAATCAAAACTTCCGTTGAAAGCTGGCAGAAACGTTTGAATGAAGCCGAAGATAGGATTTCAGTTCTCAAAGACAGAATGGCAGCTAATGATTGTGAAAGGAAGGATCTCTTAAAATCAACAGGGAACCAGGAAAAATCAATTCAGTAGCTACAAGACGAGTCAAAGAGAAATAATGTAAGACTAATAGGAGTCAACAAAACAGCAGGGGGCAACATAAATGACATAAATGATTATTTGTAGAAATAATGGCAGAAAATTTCCCAAGCATGGAAAAAGATTCTGATGTACAGGTAAGTGAGGCATACAGAACTCCAACTAGTCATAACCAAAATAAAACTACACCAAGACATATAATAATCAAGATCCCAGACATACAGCAAAAGAACAGAATATTAAAAGCTGCTAGAGAAAAGAAACAGATCACCTATAAAGGAAAACCCTTCAGAATCACAGCAGATTTCTCAACTCAAACCATCCAATCAAGAGCTTGGAGTGAAGTATTTCAGGTCCTGAGACAAAACAGCTTCCAACCGAGTTTGATGTATCCTGCCAAACTATCCTTCAAATTTAACGGAGAAATAAAATTCTTAAATTTGAGGGATAGTTTGGCAGGATACATCTACAAAGAACAACTGAAGAACTTCATGAGTGCCAAACCAACCTTACAAAGAGTTCTAAAAGATACTCTAGACAGAGGAAAAAATAACCACCATTTCAAGACAGCACCATAAAGGAACCCTCAATCAAAGCAAGCAATTAAACAGAGAAAAAGTAGGCAACCAACAGCAAGTAAATAACTTGACAAAGATAACCCAACATGTATCAGTTATAACCATTAATGTAAATGTTGTCAATGCACCAGTCAAAAGAAACAGACTGGCAGAGTGGATTAAGAAACAGAATCCAACAATATGATGTATACAGGAACAGCCACAACCACAAACACACTAAGCCACCTAGTCCTTGATGAAGGGGCCAAACAAGTTCATTGGAAGAAAGATAGTATCTTCAATAAATGGTGCTGGAGAAACTGACTTGCCACTTGCTGAAGACTGAAAATAGACCCAAGTCTATCACCGTGCACCAAACTCAGGTCAAAATACATCACAGACCTCAATATTAAAACAGAAACACTACATCTTTTGGAAGAGAAAATAGGTAAAAATCTTGAAGAAATAGGGGTAGGCAGAGAGTTCATGAACAAAAACCAAACCACATGGAGATACTTCAAAGAATCAAAAACTGGGATCTCACTGAAAAGTTTTTGCACATAAAGAAATCACCAACAGAGTAAAAAGAAAACCCATAAATTGGGACAAAATTTTAGCTGACTGTCCCTCCGACAAAGGACTATCTAGAACATAGAAAGAATTAAAGAACATCAGCTCCCCCCCAGTTCAAAGACCCAATCCAGAAATGGGCATCTGAGATGAATACATACTTCTTACAAAGAAATACAAATGGCAAATAAATACATGAGAAAATGTTCTATGTCATTAGTCATTCAAGAAATGCAGATTAAAACAACACTGAGATTTCATCTCACCCCAATAAGAATGGCTATCCTTAAGAAATCAACCAATAACAAATGCTGGCGAGGCTATTGGGAAATAGGAACTCTTCTCCACTGCTGGTAGGAATGCAGACTGGTGAAATCACTGTGGAAATCAGTTTGGAGATTCCTCAGAAAACTAGGTCTAGAGGTCCCATTCAACCCAGCTATTCCCCTTCTGGGTACTTTCCCAGAAAAACTGAAAGCATCATATCACAGCAATATATGTGCACCCATGTTTATACCAGTGCAATTTGTAATAGCTAAATTGTGGAAGCAACCCAAATGTCCATCCACTGAGGAATGGATAAAAAAGTTGTGCTATTTTTATATAACGGAATATTACTCAGCTATAAAGAAAGATAACCTTGAGTCTTTTATAGGTAAATGGTCGCAACTGGAGACCATACTCATAAGTGAAATAAATCAGACCGCATGTGGAAACAACATGTTGTCTCACTAGTGTAAGAACCTGAAAGAGTGAATAAAATTAAGAGGTATGATAGACATTGTGAAACGAAAGGAAGATGCTCAGAAGTAAAGAACAACAGGAATGAGGGAAAAGAGAAAAGAAAGAAGCGGAAAATTATGTTTATATGTATATACAAGATAGTTAACATAGTTGTACTACTGACTTCTATTGCTTTACTGAAAGGAACAGTTAATGATTAATTATTTGACTAATCTTACTTGTCTATATTTGTTTTCCTGAGTAACCACTTTGAAGAAATCAATATGTAATACAACAACCATTGTTAATTTCCTATCAGCTTGTCTGAATTTCAGTATTGCTTGTGTTGCTCTTGTGTTACTTTGTAAATGTATGTGTTTGTTAATGTGTTTTTGTTCTTTTATATTTTAAAATAAAAATATTTTAAGAAAAAGAATAAAAAAAGCAAAAGCAAGTAATGTCAGCTGTGAGGGATAATAAGAAGGAGAAATTCCCACACACAAGTTCACAAAAGTTGGGGAAGATGCAGTGAGCCCATTGGTCCTCAAGAGTGTCCATAAACTCTGTGTGCCTTATACTTTATGCATTACATTTGCACTGAACTGAGATGAAGTCTTATCTGAATGTCAAAGGTTTTTGTGACCTAGAAAGAGTTAAAAACCATTTATCTAAATGGAAGTTGAAGTACTAAGTTGGTATTTATTTATCCAAAAAGTGAATTGAGTGATAATTTGTTTTATTTCCAGAAGCTCCTGAAGAATCATCAGAGGATAGAACAGAATGTCAGGAAGATACAACTGTGGAAAACCAAGCTCAGAATCGAATAGACACAGGTGAATTGTCTTGTTCTCTTTAGATGTTTGTTGTCTTTATGGTCATCTCTTACGTACTACTTTATTTTCTAACAGCACAATTAGATAACCTCACAGCCGAGCCATCGGATCCCAACTCAGGAGAAAGAAATGCTGTTGCTCTTGATAGCCCTTGTGCAGCTCCGGAAGAGCCTTCGCTGTCTGAAAACAGCAAGGAAGCAGAAATGTCAGATCAGACTAGCAGTGAGAGCACCACCAATCAGGCCAACCCCAATCCCGAGCCCCAGTCCCAAACAGAAGCCATGGGGTCTTCATCTCATGAAGAATCATCCGCCAGGGACGCTGCTCTACAGGACACAGATGACAGTGATGATGACCCCGTCCTCATCCCAGGGGCAAGGTACCGAGCAGGACCTGGTGATAGGTAGGTATATTTTTAATTCACAAACTATAGAGAATATATTTCACAGAGGTTTGTTTGAAATCATGAAAGAAGTTTCTCCATTTTTGACAGTTGCCATCTTTAGGGTGTCCCAATCATACAAACCCACAGAAAGTTTTAAAACTGTAAAATTCATATACCACATTCTTTGAGAAAACTGCATTAAGAGGAATAAAAAGTCTTTGCTCTTTGATACTTAATTTACAGATAAAGAGAAAGGAGTGTTGAGAATAGTCAGTGGGTTATTTGTGAAGGCTGGGCTAGATTTAGTTGTCAGATTGCCCTACAGAAAATCCAGCCTTATTAGTCTTATTTTTGTTGTTAATTTTTTCTGTTCTCCTGTTGGCCCTGCATTAGTGTGATAGTAGTTCTCATTTTAAGGACATTGTGCTTTTCTCATAAATTTAGTGACTCAATTTAGAAAATGAGAAATTATACCGAATAAATTTTATAGCAACAATAAAAAATTGAGCTAATATGTTTGTATTACTTTTCTATTTTTCATCTTATAACAAGGGATATATTTTTGCACTTCATGGTCATAGAAATTTATTTCTATAACTAATGAGAATCTATAGTTTTAGCTTTAAAAATCCTGGTTCACATAGGAATGAAGTTCTGTTTGGACCATTTCACATATCTCTGTATTGAATATACTGTTATTTATAAAATACTCAGTTGACATTTCAGGTACAAATTTTCAACTGACATTTCTGTCAACTAAAAAACCGTAATGGAAAGATTAACTTACCTTCTAAAGAGTGTCAGTATTGTGTAACAGTCAGGAGTATAATGGGTTTGAATCCTGGTTTTCACTGCTAACTAGACATGTTTAGTCATTTTTAATACGTAATGACTCACAAGGCTCAGTTTCTTTATGTATAAAATGGGATTATGGCTGAGTGTGGTGGTACACACCTGTATCCCAGCACTCAGGAGGCTGAGGCAGGACGACTGCTGTGAGTTCAAGGCCAGCCTGGGCTACATAGTGAATTCAGGACCAGCCCGAACTACATAGCAAGACCCTGTCTCAAAAATAAATACATACATACATACATGCATACATACATAATAAAATGGGATCATGATTATCTAAAATTATTGTAAGAATTAAAAGTCAATCATAAGACCTGGCTTACATTGAAAACACTACAGCCATCATGTTTATTCAGTGTGGCTACTTAGAAAACAGTCACCTCAAGGGATAAAGTCTGACAGAGGACAAGCAAAAATGCTGAACAGTACAGCATTCAAGTCAGTGATACCACTTTTTCTTAACTATAAAAGAATGTTCATCTTCCTTTGATCAAATTTGGGGAATGTTTACTTTGCCATGGCAGTGTTTTTAAATATAAAGCAAGTAATCTTTCCCAATATTTGTACTTAGAGATTAGTGAGACATCTTCTTTTTATGTACCACACATTAGTCCTCACCATTTTTTGTTTGTTGAGACAGGCTCTTACTATACAGTCCAGGCTGGCCTCGCACTCAGTGATCCTCCTGCCTCAGCCTCCCAAATGCTAGGATTACAGGCATGCGCCACACCCAGCAGTCCTCAGCATTTCTAATACGTATTTTAGACAAGTAAAATTTAGTTCTATTTCTTTCTGACCCAGAGGAAGTCCCTTTCGAGTATCATTACCACTTAATGTATGCCTAGAAGGTTAGCAAACATAGCACAGCTTGAAAACCAAACAGATGATTTCCAAAACTTTGGGTGCAAAGCTAGATTCTATAATTAATAAAGTTAGGCAGTTTGGGGCTAGGGATATAGCTCAGCGGCATACTGCCTGCCTGGCAAGCGCAAGGTCCTAAGTTCAGTTCCTGACACCAAAAAAAAAAAGTATATTTATGGTCTTCTATTTATATAAGCAAGCATATGTTTTTGACACTTTTTTCTTCTTGTATTTAAATAGCAGGACTCAATACCAAAGTCACAATTTTAAATACTTGAAGTATCCAGTTTCTAATAAAGCATAATTTTATGCTCCTTTGTTTAAGAATTAACATTTTAATGGATATTAAACACTGTCAAAAACTCATAATTATTTAGCAGCTTCTGTTCAAGCTCATTATACTTCGTGTCAAGCTTGCTGTATGACTGAAACTAAACTGCTAAGCAGGGGTTTTGTATGTTCTAGACCTGAAGAATTTTTCTTTTTAAACAGTAATACAACATCAGTGAGGAAATAGGGATTTTTAAGGGTGAGTGGACCTAAAGAATCTAAAACATACAATATCTTTCTGTGGAATTTGATAACTTGCTTCGCAGGTTAATAATACTTAGGTGATTTACATGTTCTAGGGCTTCTCCTGGGGTTTGGATGTGCCACAAAGTTGGCACCTGATGGCTTCATTAACACTGGTAGACCAGGTGCAGAACTAGCCTAGCACTCTTTAGGAGATTGTTAATTTTGGACAACAGCCTAGAAGTGACCCTACTGGAATTCACACGTAAACTCTTGAAATCATACTCTCTTGGTTAGATCCAGATTTGAAACTACCCAGGATCCATACTTGCTGCCTTACCTTTTAAAACTTGAATATTATTTAATATTGCATCTCATCAATTTGGATATTTAGCTTTAGTTTGTCCTATATATTAGTTTTATAGGACATAAAAATAAATATACTAACTAGTGACAGCAGAATAATACGATGCTTAAGCCTTCAAGAAACTGAATAATTTATTGGGGAAAAATATACAAGCCATTTAGAACACAGAAATCAAATATGAAATTTTTTAAATATTTAAGAAATTAAATGGCATACACACACACAGCCGCTGAAGTTACGCTGATGTGAGCAGAGTGACCGTTTCACGGTCACATCAGTGTTCTTTTGAGAGTTCTGTTATTCTTTACTTGAAATTTGTAAGGGGTGAAAAATCTTTCTCTGACTTCTTTGTAGTTTCAGCTTCCTTAGCACTATGGTGATTTAATTAGAACTCCCTATGCAAAGCATACTTTTAATATTTCTGCACTTTTCTAAGAGCACTTCATCCACAAACTGGCAGTTTCTGTCACATCTAAATTTAGAGGGATTAGTTGACTTTTGTCCTAAAGACAGAAAGCATGAAGTGATTTTGCCTTTTAAGAACATGAAAAGAATGACCAACTTGGGGGCCAGGGATATAGCTCAGCGGCATAAGCGCCTGTCTGGCAAGCTTGAGGTTGTGATTGTTTCCTGGTACCAAGAAAAACCCAAAAAACAAAAAACAAAGGAAAGAATTACCACCTTGTAATTAGGCATATGACTTCGGAGAATTTCTATATCTAGAGAGGTTCTGAAGCTTTACTGTTAAAAACTTTTAACGCCTAGTTGTTAGAGTGTAAAGATACACACGGCTCCCCGCTGAGATGCCTGATAAAAGTGTGCATGTCTTAGGGTTTTCTCCTTGCTGCCATTAAAGCTCAAAGGGGAGAGGAATGGCCACCCATGTAAGTATGGTAGGAATATACAGTTAATTAAGAAGTATGTACATAGTGTGTCTCATAATTTTTTGCCCCAAATTTAATTTTTCCAAATTTAATCTTTAAAATGAAACTTACTGTATAGCTGTCATTTTTACATACATTTAGCAAAAATGCCAAAACAGTTCCATGCATTGTAATGACTTTTTAAAAATATTTACATTCTAATAGTTTTGTTAAGTAAAGTTGGCCCAGGTTTTCACTTTGGGGCTTAGATCAAGCATGAGAAGCAGATGTCTTAGAAATAAGGGCCTTAACAACTAACATAGTTTTTTTTTTTTTAAACATTGAATGCTCTTCTCATTAACCATAGCAAGTCTCTGTGAGTATAAGTGGGACTGTCTGTAGCAGAGGTCAGCAAACTTCTTTCCTAAAAGGCCAGATAATAAATATTTTAGACTGCTGACAAAGAGGAGGCTATTTTATAGGCACTTACAATCATTGAAAATGTAACCGTTAAAAAAATGTAATAACTGCTCTTAGCCCTAGGGACGTTACAAAAATAGCTAAAATATAGCCAAAGAGCCATAATTTGCTGATCCCTGCTTTCTAGTAAAACAGTGTTCTAGAGAGAAACCAAGCTATATCTGTGATCAGATCCCTCTACTGGCAGAAATCCAAACTTTAAAATGATGGAATTTATGAATCATATATTTTTATCTCCTTTAACTTAGCCTAGGAAGAGAACATCAAACAAATGCAAAATACATTGGGAAAAAAAGTATGCTGTCTAATCATGGTATTTAAAAACAAATTAGTATTTACACCCTTTATTTGTTAGTTGTTTTTTTGAGACAGGCTCTCACTATGTTGTTCAGGTTGGCCTTGAACTTACTGTGTAACCCAGGCTGGCCTTGAACTCTCTGCCACACCCTCCCTAGTGCTAGGATTACAGGCATGGGCCACCATGCCCGGCCCTTACTGATTTTATATGCTGGGTTCAGAAACATAAATATGTGTGTTTGGGGAATGAAAAGAGGGTGGTTAGGTTTTTTATTTAGGTGATCTTCATATAAGTTATTTGCACAATACCAAATCCATCATGGAGTGAATGGAATGATGGCCTGGCTGGTAGCTCTTTTCTTGCTAAATCCAAGAGGAAAATTAAATTGCTCTGATAAGACAAGCAAGTGCATCTTCCTGAGAAGTCCTCACTTAGTGTTGAATAGTTTTACGTAGAGCCTCAGCTAAGATGCTTTAAGAATTTTTATTCCATAATAATTAAAGATACTGCTACACATGGTAGTGCACACCATAATCCCAGCCTTTGGAGAGGCTGAGATGGAGATCACAGGTGTGAACCCAGCCCGGGCAATTTAACAACATTGTGAAACCCTGTCTGGGGAACTATACTGACTCATGAATGTAATGGCAACTGAACATACGCTGGCAGATTTACAGTATAGAGAATTTGGGCTTTGGCTTTAAGAACAAAGGCTATCTTCTACCAAGTAGGTAGATGAACTGATGTTTCTAAGCTAATAGTACCTACTTTTAAACATTGATTAAGGGCAGCCTGGGATTCATCTCTTTGATTTTGTGTGTCTTGTGGTAGGCCCGGTGAGTCAGCCCAGCCCTTAATTAGTAATTCCCCAAAGAGCCGGTCAACCGTGTGGAGCAGACGAGTTGGAGTGAACGGTATTCATGAGTCAGTGCAGTTCCCCACGCTCTGTGACAGGATTAGTTCTAATTTATTTGAAAGATAAAAGAGATTAAGCACAGTGTCTTCCTTCTAATCATTCTTCAGTGACTGTTTCTGGTTCCTTGATTTCTTTATACACACTTAGCTGAGTGACATATTCCTCACTTAATGCCCTAAAGTCACAAAGGAAAACAAGCTTTTAGAATTGAGACGATTAATGGTAAAAGTGGTGATCTTAATGCTTTACACAGTCCGTTCTTCGAAGTCTTTGTGAGTGACTTTAGTTATTATGTTCCCTTCACTAGATTTAATATCAGAGGAACAACAATAGGTGATAGAATAATGAGGTAATTCAGTATGTTCCTTTATTTTATGATTTATTTGCCAGGTCCTCTTTCTCCACAGCTAACCACCTTTCCTATTAACAGTTAATCCTTCCTTTGAACTCACCGAACTCTAAGTGCTCAGCCTTGTGAAGCAGGTTGCTTGTCACAGACTATATTTAGCTGCATGCACTGCATGAGAAAAGACATTTCCTGTGTGCAGATATAACCAGTGTTCAGTTCAAGTATGTGGGGTGGCAAAGTAACTATAGTCTGAAATGTTGTCCTTTAAATGTCAGTTACTTGCTTCGAGTATTTTGTTAAAGAATGCTGTTTATGTTTTCCTAAAAAACACGATGGGCAGCATAACTAGCAATTCTCATTATTCAGATATACTCATTTTTCTTGAAATGAATAGCTAAAAATGGACTTGTATAATTTTGTGCATAGATTTTAAGATTCTGATTTTTCAAGCTGGGTGTGGTGGTACACTCCTGTAATCCCAGCCCTCTTGGGAGGCTGAGGCAGGAGGATTGCGGTGAGTTCCAGGTTAGCCTGGACTACATAGACTCTGTCTAAAAAAAAAAAAAGGATCCTGAGTTTTCAAAGAAAGTTAATTTAAGAGTGTCATGCATAAAGATAATAAATAACTCTTAAACACATTTCCAATTTAAAGTGTGACTGTGGGGGAGTATTTTAAGTGAGTAGAACTTTTAAGTGAACCTCCATCTCATCAGTCATTTCCTGAAACCTGGTTTGCTGATAAAAATCAGCCTTGTACTTAATTCTTCATGGTGTTTGTATGCTTTCATATTAGTTTATAAAATAATCTGGAATATAAAGTATGCAGTGACTATTAGAAATGTAAAACTAATGGAGAATGCAGAAATAATAAAGTAAGCTAAAACTGTGTGTGTGTGTGTGTGTGTGTGTGTGTGTGTGTGTGGGAAGTTCCTGGGTAGAGCCCATTCTTAGGATTCCCATGTAAAAGTCTCAGACTTATTTTTGCTTTTGTGCAGTTGTTTCTAGGCTATTTTAAGACTCTGGCGTATTTGAAGTAACTTTATGTATATTAGCCTATTACTACTTACCATTTTCTAACTTAATTGCAGCACAGAGGAATTCATTGTTGTGCTTTTTGATTTTCTGATTTATATTTTTTATATAGTTGATTATTTCTGCTTTTACAGTGAAGATTGCAACTCCAAAAAGTACCAAGTTACTTTACATGAATATTTTAAAAGTCAGTAAACTGAAATGTAGATTATTTTGAACTGGTGAACAATAGTGATACAGAAAATGTGAGTTTTTTCTCTTTGGAATAAATGGGAATAGGCTTATTCTTTCCTTCTCCAGTTATTTTTATATAGACTATTTTTATATATAAACAGATTTTCTGGGGAAATTTCTAACTATAAGACAGTGTTTTCCTGACACCATCCTCAATTTGTTCTGCTTCCTTCTTTAGCAATGGGAGATACTCAGGGAACACAAATTTTTAAGAAAAGATTAGAAAAATAAAAATTATTCCAGATTATTTCTACTGCCCAGAATATCTCTACTTCTAGTCTTCATTAAGTTCTCTCTTGTATTTTGTAATGCTGTCTTCTGTGATCTGCTCTGCCTCTAAATGATAGGTGCCTTATTATTTCTGTCTTCAAATAATAAAAAAAAAATGCAAGTCATCCTCTGCTGCTCCTTCTACTGCTATTCCATCACTTCTCACTTGATCGTGGAAGTCTTCTTCCCTCTTCGGGCCCTCATCAGGTCTGCTTTCAGTGACTTCCATGCTGTAGGAAAGCTATAGCTGCTTTGCCTGGTGTGATGGTCCGCTGTATGATGTGGCCAAAAATAACTCAGACACCCAACATCACATGCCCTTGGAGCGTCACCAGGTACACTCAGAGAGCCGTTACAGTTCTGAAGATACGTGTGCCCTGCGCCTCCATTTGTTAATCTAGTCTGTGTCTTCTAACTGAAACGACCTCCCATCACCATCATCATCACTTTGGCTAAAAATCAATATTCATCTTAAGATACTTTTTTAAGAAACTTTTATCGGCCCTTGTAACTTCAGAATTGCAGCTGTGTGCTCCTACATCTGCTGTTCTACCTAAAGCATGTTATTACATGTGTATGTTTTCCTGTATAAAAATGTAAGCACCTTTAAGGCCAGTGTGCTACATAAATGTATATAGAAATAAAAGTTGAGAAATACACCTTTTTATCAAACACTCTAGCTAGCTAAACTTTCATTCCTTTCTCCCAAGATGATATGGCTTATTGCTTTCTTCCTCTGCTTCATGAAACTTAAAATCAGTGACAGGCCTCTGAATTGTTTCCAGGGTCCCATGTCCTCTCACATATTTGGTGAAAGATACCTGGGAACATTGTTTATTATAACAAAGTAAAAAGACATCAGAGTGGTTGAGTCCAGCACAGCCTTCCAACTTTCATTCTGTCAGGAAAGGCCACATACATGGAATATGCTTCTTCCTTTAGCAGGAAAATGCATGAACACTCATGGAGCGATTCTCTCCAGGGAAGTGGGCTAAATGACTCCAACTCCAGGCTGTTTCCTAGGGGCTGCTCATATGGCTGCCCTGTACCTGTGCACCCAAATACAACCGCCCAGATCCCAGGCCCCGAAGGAAAGTGGCTGTTCACCATAAATCATACTGTTTCCATACAAGCTGGGCAAGCTGGTACAGCAGGATTCAGTGTCCCAGGCAGGCAAACAATGTGGGAAACATTCCAAATGTCAGATTTCCAGACACCAGCCAGGACCAGCCTTGTAACCAGACCCTGCTAAAGATAGCAGCATCGGGCCTGCTCTCTTTCACCTTAGTTTACTAATGTATCCTAAAGCACCTCCCCTTAAAAAGTTCCCTCCTTCGCCCTCCACAAGGAGCAGAAAAAGCAATAGCAGCACTCTAGCAACCCATCTCCCTCACTCATTTCAGATACCTGTAAGCATAGGTATTGAGATGGTACTTTCCAGTATATAGAGACCTTTTTGTTGGTAAAACTGGATGACAGTCCCAAAATGGCTTTTTTAATAAAGCAAGTGTTTTAAAGCACTTAACAATATTGCTATAAAAGAGCCCTTTCTGAACTCTTCATAAATTCATTTATCTTATAAATACTTTATAAACTAATAATTTCATAAACTTTAGCTAAACCCTTCCTAAATAATTACAGATTCTAAGTTACAAGGTTCAAATTAATGTTTTCTTTTTCTGAAAACCAGTAATTCCACAGAAGAAGAGTGTACAAATAGCATAAATTAAAATAATTTGTGCTGGACGTGGTGGTGTAATCCTGAAATCCCAGCACTCAGGAAGCTGGGGCAGGAGGATCACTGTGAGTTTGAGGCCAACTTGGGCTACATAGTAAGCTCAAGGTCAGCCTAAACTCCATAATGAGACCCTGTCTCCAAAAAAAAAAAAAAAGAATCTGTGGGTTTTGAACTTGAACACTGAAGAATGGTGTTATGCAGAAATTATAATGCACATTTTCAATGAGGAATAAATACATCGATTTTGATTTAGTCTTTAATTTTAATATTCATTTCTTATATCTGGAGGATGACCCTATGGTACATACCCATAGCAACTTTGGTTCTGGTACCAGAGTGTTATAGCTATTATGAAAGTAGAGACACAGAAAAATGATTATGGTAGAAACTCTCCTGCGAAAGGATGTGGTGGTGGGAATAGCTTCCCTGTGTTTCTAATAGCTTAATTCTTCATTCTTTGAATTGAAAAAAAATCGTTTTAAATCAGGTTTTGAAAAAATGTGTATTTGGGGATAGAGGAATTTAATTCTGAATTAGGCAGATGGAAGTTACTGTTACCCAAAGTGTTCTAATAGCTCCCGCCACTCCAGTGTGGTCGCAAAACCTGGAGAATATCACATGGCACAGACCTCTTCCTGAGATGCACAGTACACATTAGCAGAAGTCTCAGAAAATCTGAAGCAGTTAAACCTACTTAGCTTTGCTTGACCCATTACTTTGCACACTTACTTGATCAGAAACCTATTTCGTGGAGCAACTACAGAGATCCTACAGTTTGGGAAATTTTGTTCTTCCAGATAATTCTAACTACATTCTGGACTGTCTTCAGTTCATTAGGAACCTAGCTTATGAGACTTTGACTTTCACTGAGAGTTTCACACCTGCGTAGTAAAGAATTTGCCAGCTGTGGTTCTGCCTGTGTCTTCATTTTCTATTTTTAGTTCTGTATTCTTTGCATATTTGGCTGAGTTGTCCCTTAAATGTTTTCATTCCAGGTTAAGTCAGTGCTTTCCTAGTCTTTGATGATGCCATTTTTCTACTCTGAAAATTTTTTTGTTTTCCAGCAAGCTGTTTTAATAATACAAGAGTAGCAGTTACTTTGTGCCACTATAGCTGTTTGTAATGGTGTTCTACAAAAGAATTCGTTGTGTTAAAAACAGCAGGCAAAGTAATTGTTATGTTTTGCTTTTTAAATACTGCTTCATGGATTTATGCTTGCTTGCTTGTTTTGTCCCTCCCTCCCTCCCCTCCTGCCTTGCTCTTTGAGATAAGGTTGCCCGGGTGGTGGCACACGCCTTTAATCCCAGCACTTGGGAGGCTGAGACAGGAGGATCATTGTGAATTTGAGACCCACCTGAGCTACAAAGTGAGCTCAAGGTCAGCCTGAACTGCATAGCGAGACCCTGTCTCAAAAAAAAGAAAAAAAAGAGATAAGGTCTTGCTATGTAATTCAGATTACCCTCAGACTCACTATGTAATCCATCCTGGCCTCAAACTCCCAGTGACCCGCCTACCTCAGCCTTCCAGGGGTGCTGGGATTACAAGCATGCTATACCATACTTGGCTTGATTTCTGCTTGTATTCTAGCCTAGCTCTTTGCTAAATGTGACATTTTTTTTTTTTTTAATGAGGCTTACAGACTTTCTGGTTCATATAATGTACTTCCTAGTTTAACCTTAGAGTTACACATTTTTGTGACCATTTAGATAGAAAATATTAAAAATAA